CTTTACACTGTTCGTGGGGTTTCCGGCAACGCCTGTGAAATGGAGCAAAACCAGATCTTAACAAACTGGGGAAATTAACATGACCTTGACAACTATGAAGCTATGTCTGATCGGGTTTAATAGAGCAGTCTGTGCATAACTTCATTTAAATATTACCTTTGTTCTCACTTTAAATAGACGTATCAATCATAATATTGTCAATCAAGTGTAATATTGAAACAAAGTTTATTATCTTATGTTTAACGTTCGTTCAAAGCCCATTAAAATAATTTAAATAATTTGAATATGACATGTTACATTTCTTGCTTATAAATTATTACATGTATAAAATTATATAATTATGTTACTGATGTTATAAGCGAAAAGTTTGGTTACAATTAATGTTAATAATGCAATGCACACCGCATGCAATACATTTTATACTTGGTGGACTTTCCAAGACGATACACTGGAATCACCTGAAAATACATGTGAGAAATAGCCCTATCTATTTGTAAACCTTAGTTCGCATATTCATATGTAACAAAAGTGAAGTTTAATGTAAATATAATATTATTTAAGCCTATGACAATTTATAATACAAATATATTTTCTCTAGTTAGTATATATATTGAATGATCCTCTAGTCCTGGTAATTAACGCAAAGTCCTGGTACTTTGTTTTTACATACAAAGGAACAAATAACTTACACACAAATGGACATTACTGAATTTTAACATAGACAATGTCATAACACAAAATCGGGTACTAAATAACTTAATACTCAAATGCACTGGGACGTTACTTAATAATAACATTAACAGGAAGGCAGCTCAGAGCTCTGATACTCATATTCAAAGAGGTTTCACTAAAAAGTTTGATACTCTAAAACATTTGTTAAGAACATATACAGGGAAATAACTCAAAGATCTCAGTGAAATTACTCAGATTCCATTGACTACTGATCTACCGGTTTACCTATTTTTACTCATAACTGATTAACGGAAAGGTCCAATTCCCAATGTCTCCTAAAGCTTATGGCATCGTAGAAATGCATATTTACAAAAGATATCAAATCTGACCCAGATCAGATACGCCATTGGGACGTTTCTTCTGCAAATACATTTTCTATGAGATATGAAGTATTTGGGTTATATTCTTTTTATATATACAGAGGGATATAAATTTTCCCATGTTGACCAGGACATTATTCACTATTTTGATCTAAAAGAAACCCATCGAGGAGAAGTTGCCATGCCAAAATATGGAAAACAAACCAAGGAGTAAAGCGTCTGTGGAATTTCAAAAAGAAAGACATATCAATAATAAAAAGAAGTATCAGCACACAAAAATATACATTTGTACTGAATTTTTTTGTAAATATTAAAGTGTGATGGTCACTCCGCTTAGTATTTTAAGGTGACCACTTGCTTTACATAGTATAATTTGTTGCACAAACACAGACAATCGTGTCAGTATAATATAAATTCTTACCTGCCCGATGAACCCGGATTCTAACTTCATGGAGAGAGACATTTTACAGATTCTGCTATTTAATTCAGCAATAATTGTTTCCCAACGTTTGCCAGAAATGGCTGAAAATATGCGATTGACAAACACGCTAAATTTTCTGTTTATCATAAAATTCATCGCCATGTTTCCTTATGATTGCAGTACTGGTAACATCAACGAAAGTACGAGGAAACAGACTTAGGAGTGGTTTCAAATTAGTTTCAATATCATGTTAGTGCCATCTCGAGCTATGAAAATAAATAGTTTGTTGAAAAGATCAATATTATGTATGTAATAACAGAAATATACATGAACCTTTTGATACAATCATAATCTATATGAGACAAGTCACTTACCTCTGCAGTTCATTAACTCCATTATTAGTCAGTGCCAACACTTTCATCTGTTTAATATGTGTAGAAAAATCAAACAAAAGATACAAAATGATGTGTTCATCGGCACAGAAATTCAAAAAGGATTGGACATCATTTCGCCGGAATCAGTACAGTTGCATCTATGTGGCTGCTGTAAAAAAAAAGTTACATAGTACTTGCCTTCAGTGTTGTTTAAAGTTTTCTGGTCCCTCGGGAGTATTGATTTCAGTAAGTGTTGAAGGTTACATACCGCTCGAGTCGGTGCTAGGGGGACGCGAGAAATGTTGTACTTTTTCATTTCCTCTCATGAACAGACTCCATCAAACTGAATCTGCAATTTTTATATTATATCTTTATAATCTGTGCTTCCAGGGATCACCCTTTTCCACATTTTATACTTCACAACAGCAGGTGTCAAGAGCTGTGTGGCAACTGTTAAAACTTTCCAAGTACTTCACTTTTTGTTGATATATGTTTCCTGTCCTTCGGGATTAGATTCCAGCCTAAATTGAACACAGCGCGTAAGCCGGTGAAAGGGGGGGGGGCGTGAGAATCATTGCACTTCTTTATTATCTCTCATGAATAGACTCAATCAAACTGAGTCTGCAATTTTCATAATTATTATGATATGTAGATTTTCAGTGTTTCTGGGGGATCACCCGTTTTACAGAAACATGAATGCACGGAAATTATCCATTTCAAAATTAAACATAATAAGTTTATAAAGTTGAACGCTAAAATTAGCTAGCTAAAATCATTCCATTAACATTTCTCTACGGAATTTGTGATAACGGACCGTCATCTGAACAGCAAATTCCTATCAGCTGTGCAACAAATCACATATATGTTTTTATATACATCTATATGATTTTTATCTAAAGAGGATCATTTAAAAATCATGAAAAAGTTGTAATGCCGCCGCTAGTTTAGTCCCTTACCTACTATACTTTGAAGCAAGGAATGGTAAACCAGACTACATGTATACATATGGCTACTGTAGTGTCCTGCAGCCTCTTACAAGCCTTCATTCCCTATTCCCCACCACCCCCCTGTCGCTAAATAAAAAAGGCAATCCTATGAGGACCCCGACCACCTACCGTGAATCATATATCCTTAGTCGGACTAAATATTTACCGAACTGTCTGTGGTTTGACTATTGTGGTGTCATTCGGTTAGTGATGTTGGACCAGTATGAAACCGCCATTCCTTTGGTTCAAAGATGGCGGCGAAAAGCAACATGTGCGTCGCATTATTATGAATATACATGTAGTTTAATCGCCGCCATGCTGCAAACCAACACAAACACGACGTTACGTTCGACCAACGTCTTGACCAAACAAGCGCAATTCAACTTCCATTAGAGTTCCAAATCATTTAGATAGTCTCTAGTCAACTCCCTTGATATTCAAGTCACATGGTATAATACTTTAGGGACATACATTTCTTGAATTCTTTGTAGCTGTCTTTACTGGTTTCACATTTCATGTATCACAAAGACAGAAAGAATTAAATTTTATTCTATTATAGACTACTTCTGAATGGAAGGCGTATATACAATATTACTCACCATTGCCATATCTGGATAGAGAATAAAACAAGTCTTTCCTAAATAACAAAGGAGCAAATGTTGACAACAATTTAATTTTAAGTCGAATAATGGAAGCGAATAACAACCAGTTTCCCTCACACATAGTATAAACGAAAACTTTTCAATTTTAATGGTATAGATCTTCCATATAAAAAATGCACAACATTCATTTTAATTTAATTAAGATATTTACTTCGCACGTCACCACCTTCATAATTATACTATCGACTTGTCTCGTGATTGACAATTGCAATCTGTTACCAGTCACGTGTTCTAGTTTCTGAAACTGAAATTTGCACGGAAATCACGTGATTACACTAAAAGTAATTTCACCTGCATTGCTGTAATGTACATGTCTAGCATATTTGTAAACATGAAGTAAACGGAGAACGATCCATATCTGTTATGATCTGGTATGTTATTATTTATCTTTTATTACTTTTTTGTTAGTCAATATACTAGACGAAGTGTAAATAAATAAATGAATGAATGAATCCACACGGTTTTATTTTTTTGTCATAACTTTTTTAATATTTCATTATTTTCCAATGGATAAAAGAGTATCTAACCCGCTCATTCGAGTGAGGTACCTACAGACCTAGATAGTGATATCCGAAGACTTGTATTTCGTAAAGTGAAAATCTTTATTGTTCAAACACGCGGTTTCACGTTCCGTAAAAAAAATACCGGAGTTCCCCCTAAAACAAGCTATATATGTGTTAGTCATTAGAAGTAGAGGGTTTTTCAATTTATCTGATTAAAAATAATGAAATATTTAAAAAGAAACGGATTTAGTAAATAAAATCTTGACGTGTATACTGTATTTGTTTATTTTTTTCTGTCCCACTCAGATCACAACAAAGGTCAACATAACCGTGTTTATATATTTTGAATAATTACAAATTGTTTTGTACTAGACCCTACAAGTAAAAACAAAACAATAATTTACATCATAAAAGATTTGTATGTTAAAATACATACCCTGACTGTTTATATGTACCGTGAACAAGTGTATAATAAAATGTCTGTTATCGTAATTTTTGGCTAACCTGATCAAAACTTTGCGTACGCCGAAGTAACACATTACTTTTTAGATTGTCGTCCGCAGCTTAATATCGCCTTGTATACTCGTACAATTTAACTCTTTTAAAACCCCGTCCGATTCCGACCTAACACCCGCTCCTTTACACATTACACAAAGGTCGAATTTACACGATCAAAAGTCAATAATAATGTTTATTACAAGTAGCATCGTTGACATAGACACGCGCCTGTCATACAATAAATACATGTACCCTACGGGGTTAAATCAGACAAACAGTTAAACTAACGGTTGTAAAATGACTAACAATTCGGCACAATCTTTGTTAAAATGCTACACCTGTATACATTCTATAAGAATAAATAAATTACTCATCATTTCCACCTCTTTTGATCGCAATATTAAGATACACGCGACCCAATTCATACTTATTCATACATTAAAAGTTATACTTCCCACGCAGTTAACACACCCCCTCGTGTAGAAATCGACTGGTCTAAATCAGTCAGCGAACTGTTATGCATTATCTCGCTTCCTGTGTTATTAATGAATGTATTGGAGGTTTGACATTTGAATCACACACACAGCTTCTATATGACATGGAGTAACATACATAAGGAATAGTGATTTTGTTTTAATAATAAATATATTGGAAATATTTACTGTTTATTTACATATCGTCTGCTCAAACGGTAGCGATCTAAATATAATCTGCTTTGTTTCGGTTGCAGCCGTGTCCCACATTCGGACGTATATGTAAACATTGTATGAAGTAAGTTTATATATTAGTTGATATAGTGGAGAAAATACAAAATTACGGGGCCTTCTTATGAAACTATGGGGGACTACATGTCCCCTAAAAGGAGAGACGTTATTGACAGGCTTCGTCGACGTTTTGAAGTGTACAGACGTCGACAGAACGGGTTCCAGCAACGTTATGATTTCGGACAGAGGTCTATTTATGAGCAAGAAAGGCAGCATGCCCTGGTATTACGTCAAAAATGGCTTGAAAGTAAAGCAAAAAAGGCTTCAAAGAGCAAATCAAAGGCGGACAATAGCGGTTCAGATCACCGAAATCAAAACGTAGCGGTAAGTTTACATTTCCTTTGTGCAAACCAAGAAAACTGCGTACATGATCGTTCGTATTCTGTGTACATCGGTTCACACAAGATGCTTGTGTTGATCGACCTGCGCACTGTAGTGGGACATTCTGATTTCTGTTCGCGACCAATCAAATCGCGAGATCTGCTTACAGCGTATTTCAATAATCGTCAGCGATGTGTAACTAAATTTAACATGATCCGGTATACAGGGCGCAGAAAATTTGTAGAGTCAATTCAGCTAATAGGATTGAAAACATATAGCCTCTTATTTGTCACGTTAAAACAGCGGGTGATCAATGTTAATTGGTAATTATGTGTTAATTGTTATTAATTAAGGAATTATATGCAGTTTATTTTTGACTGTTAGTTCCTCTCCAGTATATTTGCTATGTACATTAATTCTGTTTAATTATTGGAATTTACTCAATAATCTGTGACAGTAGTGGAATTGCATTAAGAAATATGAGACTATGACAAAAATCTGTGCAGCAGTCGTACTTTTCTGTAAGGATTTATACAGTCTATCTATTAGACTTAAATTCAACAGACTTTTATAAGAAATCAGATGTAAAATAATTAGTGCTTATAAATATTGAATCTAAGCAAATTAATAATGTGGTGCTAAAGGAACGGAAATTATCACTTTGATGAGTTACTTTGCATGCTCATTAAACGTTCTTTCGGTGATTAAGAGTGTATTAGGGTAATAAAACCACTCTCAAGTTAATAAAGAAAAAAACACCAACAAAGTATTGCATTTCGTGGAAAGACATTATTTATCCAAATACAATATCTATTCGATATCAATGATATTGTTATAACGTACATGTTAGTTAAGATGCGATAAATACTGATACATTCATTTGAAACGAAATATTACCGATAGATTATACAGGGAAAAAGACGCTCCTTAAAAATTATTGTCGGCATGTAAATAAGTCTTAGTTGTTTGGTGAAATTAACTACAATTGTCTATTTCTGGTACAGGAGTGCTTTTTAATAATTTTTTCCATATTAAGGTATATCGATGAAAGTGGATATACCATTGTTAATAAGAAGCCTTAAGCTAAATTGCATTTATTTTCTAGTGGAAAAGCATCACTACGGTATAGAATTACTTGGAAACGGCGATATACGCAATTGACTGGCGTGATAAGACACTGGAAATTAATGTGAATTCGTAGTGACAATTTAGCAGGAATGTGTTAAACACGTGCACTCGCTCGAATTTCCATGGAAATAGATAACTGCTTATATTATATGATTTCCTTCTTTCTATGCACTATATGATGAATAGCTTTATAATAGTTAGGTTTTTATTTTGCATATCATTTTCTTTTTGTTGATTATTACATTGAAGTAAAAATAATTATTTCTTAAACAGATACACCACTTCAAGAACACTTTTTTGCTAATACGGTCACTCCAGTAAATTTTAAAGTGAATTGGTCTAAAATGGGCACATTTTCTATTATTTTTTCGAGTATTATTAAATAAACAATCGAAATGTATCATTTGGATATTTTCTACAAAATATCGCTTAATATTTTTTTTTGGATAAAGTTCAAAATTATTTTAAATGAACATTTAAATATGATCATATGAAAAACTATATCATGTTTTGGAACAATTTATTTCGTGCTGTATGAATCATATATATGTAATATCGGATCATGTATCTCACACTTGCCAACATCATCCATATATAATTCTGCCGTGGTTTATTGTTATGTCTGATAATAAATACTATCAACTTATTAATTATGAATTATATTGCAAAGTTGAAACCTTCCATTACAGAACAATTCACTTTAACATTAAGAAAACGTATGTAAAGTTAGAACCACTATTTGTTAATTAAAGTTTTTTTCTTCCTTTTTTGCTATCATAAAGAATGGTTTTGATAAGGATGCAAAAACTTCATATAAAACCCGCGTATAACTAACTCATGTACACATTGATTGAAGATAAACGGGGTTTTCCTGTAACAATATTGAAACGCTATTATTTGATTAAACTTGGGTTAACTTTCAGATTCCTCCACTCAATGATCAGCGGTTATACTGTGTGGAGATTTGAATGTGATTTGACCCCTTATTATCTTCGCCATGAGTTCATGCCATTAGAGTGGCTATAGAGTAAGGTCATCGGGCAGTCTCTCGCTCAAGGCATTTGGCTCATTTAAATGCCGTATGTACAACAGCGTGTGTTTAAACCGTCTTTCATTTACGCTGCATATTTTTGGGTTAGTTATATCCCCTTCTATATATATATATGTACATACTTACGGTGGTGAATTAATATTTTTTTATCAAGTGACTTTTGGTTGTGTTGGCTTTAAGTACTTTTACTTTATCTCCTTAATGCGGTTTATGGCCAGGCTGTGTAGGAAATTGTTGTGTTAAGAATTACCTGAAATTAGTACACGTGACTGCGTTCAGTGTAAAGATCTGGTTTGATTTCAATCTCTACATAATTATTAAAGGTAACAATGAACACTATTGGTTTGATCATTTTACTTTAGCTATAAATACGACCTGATTAATATTTTCGTAACATAGCTTTTTTTTCCCCCTTTAAGCCTGTTGCTCCCCGGAAGTCTTACATTTGTGCTATTATTTTCATGTGTATATCGGATAGTTTAAAATGATAACGATCCGCAGTTTGCTCTAATCGGGCCTTTCTGATTTCGCGATATATTTGTTCCGTGTTATTTACATAGCCAACATTTTTATTATAAGCTTGCGGATCAATGTTTAGTTTAAGATTATCTTATGCAGTGAATTAGAGTATACTTAAAATTGTTTTCGTTAACACCTCTGTGATATTTTAAACCATTTTACATGACTTTATACGGAGGGTTCAAATATCAGTCGAAGTTACTTGAAAGGTGTGTATTGCATTAGGGGTGAGACAGTTCGGTGATTTTAACATTGTAAAACACACTGTCGTGTTTGCTAAGTGTTATAGATAGAGGACGATTTTTTGAAATTTGTCTCTTTGCATACGGATTTTATTTAAACACACGTAAAGAAATATAAAAGATTGTTTTAAAGGGATAGTGGTGAACGAGACAGTTTTACTGAACTGTTTTTTTCAAAGCTGGTATTTTTTCATTTTTTTTTCTTTCATGTTTTTTGTTCGTGTTTTTTCACTCTTATTATGTGCATGTAGACAGAGATGTGTTACTAATTCTGCACCCGAAACGGATTTGATTTTTGTTTTTCTAAATTTAAATACTTGTGGCATTTTAAAATTGAAAATTGAAAAAAAAGTGTGTGTGGGAATAAAAGGAACTTGTGTAGGACTGTCGGAGATGAGCAATATTTGAAGCTAAAGTCGGACAGAACTGCATTTTCGTCCAGGCAAAGGTTAAACTGGTGCAAACGTTTTCCCCCCTAACATGTCACTTGGAAAAATTAAAAAGAATCATCATTTACTCGAGCCGCGTTTACTCTGTTACATAATACTATATTCTTGAATTGAAAAAATAAATGTTTCTTTTATATAAGTATGTTTTACATAATTATATCAAACAATTGAAGATCATTGAAATATGTTTGATCGTATGTGAAGCATTTATCATTACTCGAAAAGTATGTCTATAACATGATATGTAAATACTTGTTTAATAGATCTCGTATCAATATAATGGTTAAATATAACCACGGTCTTTATCTAAAAAGGAAGGAAAGCTCTCCGACTATTTATGCCAATGTTTATATTTCTGTCTTATCAGCAACTGAATTTTGTCTATTTTTGTTTACTTATGCAAGTTTATAAAAAAACGTTCTCAATTAAATTTACCTTTCAAGTTTTCGCTTTGTACCGAATTTGTTTTCTGTTGTTATATTTTTTTTGCGTTCGTTTGGTTGTTTTTTGTACAGTTGGATAAATAAACTGTCACTTAAATTAAATTTCATCAGCTTTAAAACGCTGGTTGGTTTTTTTACGATGTACACCGTTGCAGAATAAATGCGTTTTCACATTAATTGCCGATTGTATGAATGGAAAACGCAATATTTTATATAAAAAGTGTAGCTGTTCCCTCTTATTTTAAGGGGAAATTAAAAATTTGAATTACACACATGTTATGTAGTGAACATTTGATTCTCTTATCAGTTTGTGTTAGGCTTAATAATCGACAAGATACATGAGTAGTAGACTAAAGTACATGTATAACAAATTTTGTTTTGTACATGTATCTACTGCACACAATTATCGCGCAAGGGACCTGAAAGTCAGTGATGTACTTTGTAATTTAAACCCGATTAAACTAAGAATTTACGCCAGGGTTTCTTCTTGTTATTTGTCAGATTATCTCATATTTCGCTACGCATACGTTGTGGAGAACGGTATGTCAAAAATCTGAACAAGAAAAGAATGTTTGCTGGATTTATTCAGCACAAGGGCCGGATAATTGAAGATTTCCACAGGTGGTTGATCTAGCGTTATCTTCATGCTTATTTTACTGCTGTATTTTATGTTTCAAGATACTGATAATATGCAGGGTTGTTAACGATCGTACATCTGCAATATTTTTTCCCACCTATCATCCGGCTTGTTTATTATTTTTGCATTTGTATAAATTGATATATAATGCGGTTAAAGCTTAGCATATGGTACGTTTTTTTGTACGTCTAGATTAGGGACTGATATATTTATAGAAATTTATAGATGCACTGTTTTCAGGTCGTGCTTTAGTCAACATTCTTAGAAGGTAAACTAATGTCAGTGTACGTGCGTTACCGATGCCGACCTGGTCGTCTCGAGCGCGTTAAATTCGCAATTTAGTCTAGTTTTAAGACTTTCTTATTTCGGGCCCTTCTTTATTGGGTAAAATCGTAAACCCCCTGTAAAATATGACCTATAATTATTGTATTTTAATTGCCTTGAACATCATGGCAAATAGTTCAGCATTTAAATTCAGTCTTTTCAGAAAGAGCGACACGGGGAATTTAATCACTATAGAAAACTAACTTTTTCCGATGTAATATGTAATTTAAGATTTTTTTCTGGTTCATGCATCCGAACATACTTTCGAGCGCTTTGAAAATATTTGAATACATTTTTGAAATATTCTAATAAGAGAGTAAATAATCTTTATATGATAAAAGACACATTTCGTTGCAATATCGAAACTTTCAATGATAAATGTAGTCATAGATCTTGTGCAAAATTTGTAGTTTTGCAGCTTCTAAGTAATACATGTACAGTGTATCCTCTGCAAAGAGGCCCTCTCTTTATCACTGAATTTAACCTCTCTAGAACAGTAACCTCTCAACAACGACAATAAATCTTAACCTCCTAAAGGGTGTAGCTTACTGAAGTCATAACTAAACAAATACCAGACGAAATTTGTCTTGTTTGAAATATCTTAGAATAAAAATTGTAGGATTATATCTTAAGTGATGTCATACTAGTACATAACTTCATTTGAATATATTATCCGTTTCTAAATACTTTATTTGGTGCTTATATATGTTAACCTTATTTTAATTGTCATTTCAGAAACGTCTAAAGCATAAGATAGACAACAATTCCTTGGAGAACACTAATCATCTTCAGAGTCATCCAGAAAATGTTTACCGCTTTGAAGACGATGATGGTCCTCCACCTGCTAAAACTCTTGCCACTTCCGCCAATAACTCGTCAACAGATGGCGGTATTTCATCCAGCGTCTCCGTGCATATAGTTCATCAAATAAACAGTGGAAATTCGAAGCAAGAGCCAAAGATCTCTACTAATGTTACTGTGAACCAGACTATTAAATCCAAGACCGAGACTGAAACGGATGTTCAAACTAATGTAGAATGCAAGCAAGAGCCTAGTGACGAATCTAAAATTCAGCCAAACTCTAGTGTTAATAATAACAATAATAACTCGGATTTAGATGAATCGGATCTGACGGATATATTGAATAGTTTTGAAAAAGACGAAGATTTGCCTCAAGATATAATAGATGAATTAAATAAGTTTGATGAAATTTACCGACACGTTCAGGACACTGAAGAAAATGTCAGTGGTTTGAAATCATCAGATTCAAGTGGAAATATGTTTGCCTCAAATATGTATGTTGACCCTAGTCAGGGGCAGGCACAGGTTCGATCCCCACAGTACCGGGGAACTCAGTCACACACTGCTCAGCCTATGACAGAAGGTGGTTTGGCTGCAGAAACTCTGAAACAAATGGCAGCGCAGCATCAACAGCATCATCCTGGTCAAGAACAGTTTGGTGTCAAGTCTGCAGTTGACCCTTTTAGTGATTTATCAGAAACTGGCAACTTTGCCAGGAATGGATACTCGCCGCAGGATTATTATAGTGGTTCGTACCAAAATCAGCCTAGTATTGGTTATCCGCAAGGTAAACAATCATTGCCAGCGTATGGCCCTAATACAAATAAACAATTAGCGCATTATGCTCATAACACCCCAAGTTCTCAAGCGGACACAGGTCCCTCATCTCTACAACAGCTTCAAAATCAGGTTGCTCATTTCAACCAAGGACCTCAAATGGAAATAACTCAAACACAACATATGCAGGTCTCGGATGGTTCTCATCGTATGCAAATGTCTCAGACACAGCATGTTCAACTTCGCCAACCGTTCCCAAACATTTCTCTCACCCAGCAACAAGGTTTCGCTGCATCGCCGCCAAGTGCTGTTCCAAATTCTTCTCAGTCTCAAACGTTTATGCCAAGTGATCAAATGACAATGCAACAGCAGCAGCAGCAACAGCAGCAGATGATGCAAAGTAAGATGCACACGGATCAAAGGCAGGCGCAGATGCAGCAATATATGAATCGACCACCCCCAGAATACAAGATGCAGCACAGCATGAATGGAGGAATTCCTTCAAATAGCATGGGACCAAATCCGCTGCAGACAATTCAAAACATGGTGAATCAAACAAATACTCATCAAAATCAGGGTTATTCTTCTGTGAAAAGTGAGGCTAGTGAGATGCAAAATGGCATGCGGACTGCACAAATGTCAGCCATGCAACAACAACAAATGGGGATGCCCTTGTCTCAGACCCAACTGAACTACTCAAATCAGTCAATGCAGAGACAGGCGTCATTTCCGGGTGCTCTGTCTCATCATATGACTGGACGGCCACAAAGGCCGCCCAACGCCCCCACATATACTAGTGCAATTATGAGAAATCAAAGACCTCCAAATGTTAACATTGGACCTGATGGACTTAACATCTCACAGCCTATTGTTGGTAATCCTCGGCAGCCACAAGAATGGCCAAGAGGTATGAACCCGATGTCGGCACATGCTGTACGGCACGGCGTGCCGACCACGTCTGCAGGAATGATGCAATATCGATCTTTCTCGTCCGATGGACATTCGGCAACAGCTGCTCAAATGCAGATGCATCATCAAAGTCAGCGGACAATGCATATGGACCCGATGCAGTCACAGCAGGCGGCCATGATGCAAAGCAACGCGCATGCGCAACAAATGATGATGCAACAGCAACGAATGCAAATGACGCAACAAATGGGACAAAGTACTATCACTAGACAAACTCCACCTTACGGTATGACGTCACAACAAGGGAGTAGTTTCCCTCAATCAAGTACTTCTCAAGAGGATATTTTGAATCTTTTAGACACTGCGCCGAATCAGAACACTGATTTCTATGACGTTCCAACTTCCGGTGGCGCTTCGGAAGCGAACTGGTATGATATTGAAGATATTTTAGGAAATCAAAAGTGATTTCTTGAAAAAAGTAGACATCAGTTGATGATTTTAAGTGTACACATGTTACATGTAAAGTGCTGTTTTTTAAAGTGTAGCTAAATTAACGTGAAATCTGGTGTTGGCAGAAGACAAAAAAGGAGCAGAAATGATTTTGTCTTCTGCTTTGTTGGATTCAAACTGCCGAATAGCATTGCTAGACGTGGTTTTTCGTGCTGGGAGTCATTAGATGAAGAATCAATATGTGCATTCCAATGAACAGAGAGCAAATAAATGGGTGTCTAGCTACTGATGTTCTAATGAAGAAAATTCTTTTATCTATTTCTAAACAAACAAAAAATAAAGAAGAATTCTCCCAACTGCTTGTTAGAAGAGGGTTTTCGTGAGATATTCGAACTATTATTTATGGATAATTACAAACGTTTCAACTTAATGTTTGTTTTTTCTAGATTTAAAAGATTTGATCTTAAGGTAGGAATTAAAGTTGATGGGAAAGACAGTTTTAAAGCAGCATGCCTCCAGATTGATGTGACATGTTTGTTTGTTTATGAAAATTTGAAAAGTTGCTCAACATAAGAAGTAAACAAATGATTTTCATAAACAATTTTTGAAGTATTTGAATCATACTAAAGTGAACAGATATTAAAATGATTTGAGCTAAGATCTAAGGTTTTTTACTCCTGACAAAATATGCATATACATTTAAAATGCTAAAAAAATAATTCATAATATATGCAATAATAGTAAGCCCTGTAACATGTAGATGTGATGATACTTTTATTTTAATTCAGTCATGCATATGTATTAAAGGAAGTCCGCCTTGAGAATGAAATTTTACATAGATAAATAGAAGAACTTAAAAGAGGAAAAAATTGAAAAGATAATTAAGAAATATACTAAAGATTAAATTGAAATTTAATTGTTAGTCCTATTTAAGTTGAAAGTGCCGAAAAACTTTTTTATTTTTAGGTCAATTTTGCAAAACTTAAATGAGTATTCAGGAAAAACAGATTGAGTCAAGTGTTATGACATTTTGCACTAAAATTATTCTTTCAGACCTTTATCAAATCAAATATTTAAACAAATTGTCCAATTCTGTCATGTCAATATATTTCAGAAATTTTATAACTTCAAAAAATGTTTTTCTTAAAATGTTTGAGTTTTACATATATGTAGATAATTTGTTCATAAATCTGGAGTTGTGCTGCTTTAAAAGTTATTTTTGTACAATTGTGAAGTCAGAATGTTTAACTATAGTATCTTAATATCTAATTACATTTCTTAAGACAATACAAAGATTTGGTAAGACAAATAAAAGTTGATTATACAATGCATAGGAGGACTTTTAAAGCGGGATGCCTCCAGATTCATTATTATTTTTATGAAAATTTTGAAAAATGTATTTAAAAGTAACATTGTGAGTTGAATAAAGACAGTTATACACACACTGCAAAGGACACTTACAATCCACGTAAATTACCAAAAAGGGGTCAACATAAGCAAAAATAGCCCTTACTGTGTTAGTCACGCGATAAATACTGCAAAGTCGGGTATTAATCGCACATAATGTGATACTTATTGATTGAATACATTCATTTTTAGCTCGACTTTTCTATGAAAAGGGGAGCTATCCTACTCGCCCCGGCGTCGGCGTCGGCGTCACACCTTGGTTAAGTTTTTCGTACCACCCCACTTTATTTCAGAAGTATTACAAGTATGGCTTTGAAACTTACCATACTTGTTCACCATCATAACCTCCATCTACAGACAAGAGTACATAACTCTGTCAAGGTTTTGACAGAATTATGGCCCTTTTTTGACTTAGAAAGTGTATTGAGCTTGGTTAAGTTTTTTGTACCACCTCACTTTATTTCAAAACCATTGGAGGTATTGCTTTTGAAACTGACCATACTTGTTTACCATCACGACCTTCATCAACAGACAAGAGGACATAACTCTGTCAAGGTTTTTGACAGAATTATGCCCCTTTTTGACTTAGAAAATACATTGAATATGGGTAAAATCCACTTATTGCCTTAACCCTTTGAGATATTGCTTTGAAACTTTTAATGCTATTTCACATCATTACCCCCATCTGTACGCAAGAGAAGGTAACTCTGTTCAAGGATTTGTTTTAAAAATTAAGGCCTTTTATCGACTTAGAATCTTGGTTAAGTTTTTAGTACCAGTCCACTTTTTGACTGAACTGTTTGAGATATTAATTTGAAAGTTGGAATACTTGTTTACAATCATGATTCCCAAACATGTCCAGGAGAAGGTAATTCTGTCAAAGATTTTATTTGAATTATGGCCCTTAACTGTCAATGTTTTGTATTATAGGCAAGCACTAAAAAACTTAAAAAATCTAAAAAAATTCATTCCTATCCACTTGTTCACTTTACCATAAATTATGTCATATAAACATTGCTGTAATATTCAAGGGTATTGCCTTTTACTGCAAAAACTTTTTTTATTGGCAAGCAATAAAAAAGTCGAGCGCGCTGTCTTACGGACAGCTCTTGTCTTAATATCCGGTACATTTTTCTCAAGTTTGATTTTTCATGAAATATTTTGGTTCATTTGGAGGCATGCAGCTTTAATCGCCACATCTGCATATTTACATAAAATATAAATGAACCTGTATGGTTCCTTTAATTTACTTTTTGTTAAAACTCTAATCTACTGCTACGGATGTTTGACAATGTTACCCTCCCTGTGCAGGGTTCAAACCAATTACTTCAACAACAAAAAACGACTATAAATGGTTATGAAGCAACATGTAATTTACTATCTATTCTATCTATTGAAAATGGATTTGAAAATATTTATAAATCCATATTCAAATCATTCAATTGTATGTACACATTTTATTTGATTGAGATGAAGAAATTTGTTATAAATGAACAGTGAGTGTTACTGTAAGCTTCACACTTTAAAGGGACCATAATTTTGAAACATTTTTGTGCATTCAAGGTGAAGTGTTTTTTATTCATTATTCCTTCAAAAGGTTTCAGATTTCACTCTTTATTATATTCAATGGTATTGTCAATAAGGCCAGATTGAGGAAATTGTGTGGTTCAGGTCTCCTGCTGTAAAATTAATATATTATATAAATAAATGATAATATATATATATTATTTTTTAAATTGTTAATTTGAGTTTGCCGTAGCTTTCAGCCTTTCGGTGTCCTACAGCAGTATTTAATATACATGCAGATATATATTTAGACGAAACAAGGGAAGTGATTTAATGTCTTTGAGCGATTTTTTTTTAATTTAAAAGTTTTAAGACTATATAAATATGTTTGACTTTCATTTGTCAGTAAAACTTAAGGCAAATGTGTGCTTTTATTATGATGTTTTAATGATGGACTAAGACCATTTATATACTTATCAAATAAAGAAATGAAAGAAGCAAAACGCTGACAAAGTTATATGTTATCTCCTTCACAGAATACTAAATAAAGATAAGTTTATTAGTTACTAACTGTTACAGAAAATCAAATCATAAAACGTTTTTTTAAAGAAGAAGGAAGAATATAATTTCTTGAACATATTGACCTTTAAAAGAAAAAAACATAAATAAATATATATAAAGAAAAGGACGTCTCCATAGACAAATAACTTACATGTATAATGTACTTAAAATTAGCTTTTTAAGAAGGCCAACTAACTATATGTAACTAACGTTGTTCTTTTCATGATATTTAAAGAAAGCTTGTTTAGATAACACTCGTAGAAAATTAAGCGTTGTCGATTTATGTGTAAATTCAAGGAAATATGATTAAAGACAAATTTATGCCTTTGATTTAACTGAAGAAAATATCTTTTCTTGATTTATGCAAAAATGTTGGTGTTTTTTTTTTTGGCGCCAAATGTATATTTTTGTTATGAGAATGAAAGAAAGTTCACAAAGCACTTTGATTTCAAAGGTGCATTATTTTATTATTATTATTATAACATTTTAATAACAATATTTTTAGTACTTTTATTGTTACAGTTACATAATTATATAACTCTACATATGTTTTTATTGTTACAGTTACATATATAACTCTTACATATGGACTCGCCCCTCTTTCAATCTGGATAAAACCTTTCAACATTTTAAGAGAAATTTTCTATAAATAAATTTTAAAAAATGCACTGACTAAAAAGCGAACAGTGCAAATCATTACCAGACATTGGGGTTGATCTTGGTCTGCACTGGTTGCACGGATTTCATATTTTGCCACGTGCAAGCTAAGTATTAGGTTAACATATCTTAAATATAAACCTTTTAACAACTAATTATTTCAGATACGCTTTTTTTTCTCTAGAAAACATTTTTTTCTATTGCCATATGAAATTTTATAAATCTTTTGTTTTTCTCAACGTCATAAAGGCTTAAGTCAATACTATAGTTTATAAGTATTAAATGATTAAATATATAGCACTTGCGGACCGGAACCACACAATTTATTCAAATCTTCTTTGTTAAGTACGCATTTATTGTACATTAGTCACTTTTGAATGTTTCACATGTTTTTTATTCTCCGTTTTTCACATTTTTATTAAATGTTATTAATGGAGAAATGAGTCATAGAAGTGGATGAAAAAATAAAAAGAAGCAACTACCTCGTTAAGTCATACATGTTAAAACACATTAAATTTGAAATATTACATATGTGCTGCAAAAATACCTTTTGTCATAATTCTATTCCGGCCCTATAATAAGAATAGACGGCGCGGAAGAAAATTCATTTTGCATCACCCCCCCCCCCCCTTTAGTGTATGTACATATTTTATTTATTTCTATATATATATAAAAATATGTGATGTTTTTGTTAATGAAATGTATTATTTGTAAGATAAATATGAAATTGTTATTTAAATGTAGAATAAAAAAAACGCTATGATTGACAAAAAAATAACCGGACTGAGTTTCTTCTTTTTCCTTTTATTTGAAAAAAAAATCGAACCGCCTTTGTGCATTGTGTTTACTGTTTATTCAAACTATTGATTTTAGAGCGTTATTCGATTTATTGGACCGCTACCAAACGCTTTATTTGTATATAGGTTCTTCTAATTCTTAATTTATACAATCAATGAAATGTTACACATCGCTTTAGATCTTGATTTACAAATCTCTAGTTAAGATCGGTTTATGTGTTTGTTAGATCGAAATGATAACGGGGTTTTATTTTTGTCCTAGCCGGTCCCATCCTCTTCCGGTCGCTAAATGCGTGGTTTGGATTGTTTTTAGGCGAATTATTGTTTGCTGAAATTAAATACATTTTTCTTTACCGTATGTCCTATAATAAATAACGCCATAGCTTTAGGGGAAATAATGATTTAATGGTGTCCAGTAAATGTGGTAATATTTTAATTAAGTCATATATATAATTATATTCTCTATTGTACATGAAATTAGTAATTAGAAAGATGTGTTTATAAGGATAAAAGTGAACGTCTTTGGCCGTTTTGCTAACTTTTGCGGAATGGACTTGAATTGGCTTGAGTCTTGGAACCGTCCACTGTCAGTTTTGTGGGTTTTTGATATCAATAAATCAACAGTTATTAATCTAGTAAGTTTGTACGGATGTACAGGCTGGTATAGCGTGGGCCTAGTGACACGTGCCAGCCGTTAACGCCGTAAGCATTCAAAATGATAAATAATAGATATAAATTATAGCTGAATGAAAGAAATAAGTATGTTTTTGAAGCGTGATTTTCTTTAATTCAATCTGTCCACATTAAATACATGTATTTTAAGTGCAAACTCTAGCTTGTTGAGTCATACGCTGCCCACAATTGTAATGAGAGTGTAGTTCTCCGCATCTCTTAAGACAATTCCTTTGTATTTTGAATAAATACCATTTAAAGAATTCTGCTGGTGGAAAATAAATCTGTGCATTGTCGCAGACGATAGACAGCAAACTCCCAACCGCTGCATTATAGGTTTTTAATACCAGCCAAATTCGCATTTTATTTTAGGATGCTAGCGATTGAATCAAAGCCAATATAAAGCTTTTGAAAAATTAAAAATGTTTTCCCACTTTCACGAAAAAGGCATAAAGGATTTTAATTTTTAATACGGTTTGGGGGGGAAAAAAATCTGGGTGAAAGGGAAACCCGGGATACACCAAAACTTTTATTTTAAAGTAAACAGTTTTTTTTTCCCGGCATACCCCGGGGTTTGTATAAAATTACCAAAAATTAAAAACATGTTGAATAATTGAACACAAAATTTTTTCGGATTCGGGGAATTTAATAAACGTTTTAGAAATTTTAAAGGGCCACTTTCAAAGTCAAAAGTAGGGTCCTTAAGGTCGCTAAATTCCCTACCCCTTTTTTTAAATCCCATTTTTTTATCATTTTTTCAGTCAGGAAGCCACCCCCACCCAAAAAGTTTAAACATCCCCAAATCGGGGGGTTTTTTCAAAAACGTAAAACTTTCCCAAGTCTAAAAATAAGTACACGGGGGGAACCTAAAGGTCTTTTTTGGGGTAGTTCAAAGTGCCATATCCCTTTAATATCCCTTAAAGGATTTTAAACCCAATTGATCTAAAGGAAACGAAACCCGACCCAACCCTTTCTGGGATATTTTTATCG